TTTATTTAAATTTATTGAGAATTGTTTTATGGCCCAGCATATGGTAATACTATTCAAAATTCTTTGTACTTGAAAAAAACTTGCACCCTACACTCATAGATTAATAGGAAAAAGGAAAACTTAAAATGGTCTTTATGTTTACCAGATTCTATTTCTGATGTGCCCCATTCCTTTCTGAGGATATGAGTTTCCATCTGTTATCATTTCCCTTCGAGTCAAAGAACTCCTTTAGCATTTCTTATAGTGCAGGATTGTTGGCAACTAACAAGACTTCATTTACATTTCATTCTTGACGTATGTTTCTGGTGAACATAGAATTCTGAGTTGACCTTTTTCTTTTAGCATTTTAGAGATGTGGGTATCTCCTAGCCTCCGATTTCTCTTAAGTCAGCTGGTAATTGTTCCTCTGTATGTGGTCTGTTATTTTTTTCTTGCTGCTTTCAAGATTTTCTCTTCATTTTTAGCTTTCAATAATTTGACTATGATGCACTTAGGTGTGGCCTTTCTGTTTATAAAGGTGGGTTTGTGGACTACTTTAAATTTGTTTAATTTCTCTCTTTCATCAAATTTGGGAAGTTCTTTGCTATTATTTCTTTAAATATTTTTTCTGCTATATAATTTATCTTCTAGGTTTCCAATTACATATATATTAGACTGTTTTATGTATATTACCTAACTAGTCCATGAGGCTTTAAAAAAAAATCTTTTTCCCCCACTGTTCTTCAGCAAGGGCAATTTTGCATGCTCTATCTTCTAGTTCATTGACTTATTCTGGTGTTTTTCTTTTACTATTAAATCAATCCATTTAATTTTCTTTTTTCGGTAATTGCAATTTTTATTTCCAGGATTTCTGTTTTCCAAAAATCATTTGTTTCTGGGCTGAGGTTGCTTATTTTGTTCACAAAGAGCACATTTCCACTGCTGCTTTAATATCCTTGTCTGTTAATTCCAGTATCTGGATCATTTTGGTGTTGGCGTCAGTTCTGAACATTAAATTGCGGAGACTCTGGCTTGTCTCCAAAGAGTGGCGCTTCCTTTTATTTTTACCAAGTCGTTAGTTTTGCTGGATACACATTGCAAACCATACTTACTGGGCAGAAGCTCCAATCTCATTTAAGACCTTCTGTCTTTAGCTGAGCTGCCTTGAGTCTGAATTGCACAGTGAGTGGTCCAGAGCTTGGGCAGAAACATGCTCACACAAAATTTGGGGATTCTCCCATCCCAACTCTTCCCCTTCTGAAATTCCCATTTTTCTTTCAGTGGGTTCAGCTGCCCTGGCTCAGTACTCTGGTCCTGTGATCTTCTACCACCATATTGTACATACCACTTTGCCTGCTACCAAGTTACAAACAGAAAAATAGGGAAATTTCTTTGCCTAATTCTCCTTTTCTGAGTGTAGACACGTCTGATCATCCTTTTTGCTTCCCTTCATTCTGCAGTGTCTCAAAGTAGCTGCTTTTCATATTATGTCGACTTTATAGTTACTTATGGAGAGGTCATCCCCACAGATCTTAGCCACTACTGGAAATGCCTAGGTGTAGTTTAAATATTTTACCCATATTTATATATTTCCATTTCTTGAGTATACCAATCATAATTTAAACTGCTTGTCTGCTTTCTCTAATATTTGGATCAACCTGTTGTATTTTCTACATTTACTCTGGTTTAAATAATATGGTCCAATCTCTAGATTTGCTAGTAATTTTTATTAGATAAAGAAATTGTGTGTAAAATATAATAGTGTTCCTAGATGTTTTTTTTCTTCCACTCTTTTCTCTGCTAGGAAGATAGAAGGGAGGCTATTCACCTTAATCCACTCAGGGACTATATTGTTTGAGTCTGCACTGCAATTTTGATATGCCTGTCTACCTGCTTCATGTTGTCCCTTGTAAAGAGCCTAGGCTTTTAACTGAAAGCCCTGTGTATTCACCAGTTCCCATCCCTGAATTCTAGCCATTAGCACGAAATCTTGTCAAGGATTTGAAATAAATGACTGGGTAGGATTATGGAATTTCTTTTTGTAAATGTTTCTGAAATATTACAATGTCTATGAGAAGTATGTAAGTAAATGTAGATCGTCAAGGAAGGAAGGGAGAGGGAACTCAGTAGCTGAGATATAGCAGGAAGATTGACTGCATAAACGTTTTTATAACTTGACTTTGGTACCATGTGTATGTATTAATTTCTAAGAAAAATAAACACACATATCCCAGACTCATAGGGCCACAGAGTGCCATAAATATTGTAAGGAATCAGGCATTTGGTTACCCTCACCATCTATAAAGACCACAGAGGACAACTTAGCCCTGATTTATTTGGGGGCAGAGAAAATTGAGTATCTTTCAGAGCCTGTGATGAGCTAAGGGGATTATAATATTCCTGTAAGTGCTTCTGTGAAAAGATTCAAAATCGGGTAATTGTCATTTTTTTTTTTTTACCGATGAAAGTATAGTAAGTATAGATGGTGGTTTTGTTAGAACTTTTCAGATCACTTAATCTGATATAGGATATGGGGCCTTAGACATTTTATTTGAACACTGTTATCTTTTCTTTTAAAATAGCTGTTAAAATCCTGATAGCACAGCTGATTACCTTTGGTCTTGCTTTCCCCAGAACTTTATTCTAGACTTCTGAACTAGGGTCAGCATACTATGTCCTGGGGCAAATTTAGCCTGTTTTTGCACAGCCCTCAAGTTAAGAATATTCACATTTTTACATGGTTTAAAACAATCAAAAGAAAAACATTTTGTGGCACATGAAGATGATATGAAATTCAAACTTCAGTGTCCTTAAATAATTTTACTGGAACACAGCTGTGTTCGTTTATTTACATATCATCCATGGCTGCCTTTATGCGATAATGTCAGAGTGGGGCACAGGCACGCCTCAGAGACATTGCAGGTTTGGTTCGAGAGCACTGCAATAAAACAAGCATCACAATAAAGCGAGTCAAATGGGTTTTTTTGTTTCCTGTGCATAAAAAAGTTATGTTTACACTATAGCAGTCTAGTGAGTATGCAATAGCATTATATCTAAAAACACAATGTATATACCTTAATTTAAAAAACACTTTATTACTAAAAAATGCTAACCATCATGGAACTTTCAGCAAGTTGTAGAGTTTTGGCTGCTGGAGGGACTTGCCTCAATGTTGCTGCAGGTCCTACATCAGCACTTGCTGCTTCACCTTGTACTTTGATGTTATGGTACCAGCTTTTTTCCTTAAAACTCATCAGGCTCTGCCAGCTTCAAGCTTTCCTTCTACAGCTCCTCACCTCTCTCAGCCTTCCGAGGACTGAGGACAGTTAGGGCCTTGCTCTGGATTAAGCTCTGGCTTAAGGGAAGGTTGTGGCTGGTTTGTTCTTCCATCCAGGCCACTAAAACTTTCTCCCTCTCAAAAATAAGGCCATTTCACTTTTACATCATTCCTGTGTCCACTGGAGCAGCCCTTTTCATTTCTTTCAAGGCTTTTCCTTTGCATTCACACTTGGCTGACTGCTGGGACAAGAGGCTGAACTTTTGGCCTATCTTGGGATTCAGCATGCCTTCCTTACTAAGCTTAAACCTTCCTAGTTTGTGACTTGAAGTGAGAAACATGAGACTTTTCCTTTTGTTCGAACACTTAAGAGGCCACTGTAGGGTTATTAACTGGTTTGATGTCAATACTGCTGTGTCTTAGTTTTGGAAAAGAGAGGACTCAGGAGAGGGACAGAGACAGGGGAATGCTGGTTGATTGTGCAGTCAGAATACACACATTTATCGATTAAGTGCTCTGTATTACATGAGCATAGTTTGTGGAACCCCAAAACACAATAGTAACATAAAAGATCACTGATCACAGATCACCACAACAAATATAATAATAATGAAGCCTGAAATCTGTGTGAGAACTGCCAAATGTGACACAGAGATGTGCAGTGAGCAAATGCTATTAGAAAAATGGCATAGTTAGACTTGTCTAACATAGGGTCACCACAACCTTTAATTTGTAAGAAACACAATTATCTGTGAAGTACAATAAACTGAGGAATGCTTGTAGTTGCAACAAAGACCGTATGACACTCAAAATGAAAAATATTTACTATCTGGCCCTTCACAGAAAGTCTATCAACTCCTGTGCTTAAGTGTTTCCAATGACAGTGTTTCAGAATGCAGCTTTCTGGTGTGGTAGACTGACTGGATTAACGGCCCTCCTTGAAGCCGAGCCTTTTGCCAGGACTGTTGTGCTTTCCTCTCTGACGTTGCGGTCAGTCACATGACTTGTTTGACCAATGGGAGTCGACCAGAGACAATACACGCAGAGGCTTGAAATGGGATTTGCACCCTGGGGCTTGTTCTACTGCTCCTCTGTCTGCTGCTGTCCTGTGAACAGACCAAGGCTGGTCCGCTAGTGGTTGAGTCATGCGAACCGGCGCTGAGCAGCCCAGTCATTCCAGCTGAGGCCAGCCTACGTTAGCCAAGAGCCAAGGATCCCAAGATCATCACAGCTGCCTGGCTGACCTACAGCTGACCAAGACACCTGGGCAAGCCCAGCATCAATCACCCAAACCCAGCCAGATCAGCTGAACCCCGAGACTGAAGAGCCACGTAATTGTTTATTGTTATATGCCACTGACCTTTGATGGTGGTTTGTTACACAACATGATCCTGGCAATAGAAAACTGATACTATGGGCACATGAACTTAAGAAATTTCTCTTGTCAAAATTGGCTAAGGAACATTTTACTCTTTTGAGGGCTGTTTAGGGCTCTGATGGGGTTGAGGGGAGGGGGCGATATCTGAATAAAGTACAGAAGCGTCGAACTCCAGGGATGGGAATGGGCATCAGATTACATCTTGAATTTCTGCAAAAATATCTTATACTTATAAAACAGGATTCAATAAATATCTGTATTTGGTCTGTGGCTTAGTCGGGCCATTGTGTCGAGTAGAAGCTATGGCTAGGACTTGGCATGCCTCTTAACAATGAAGAGATGCAGCAAAACAGACAGACTCCATCATTTATGGAAAAAGAATTCAATTTACTTCCTGTTTATAAAACGTAAAAAAAGTACCTTGGATATAAAATCTAAATGTCTAAGGTATCATCAGTCAGAAGCATAGAAATGTCCCTGTTTGCACCCTTCAGTCATTAGTGTATGGTGCAAAGAAAGCAGGTGCTGGGAACATCTGTACCAGGCCAAGTGAAAGCTTCGCAAGGGTAAAGCCACAGAGCCCTCGGTGAGGAAGAGGGGTAGAGAACAGGAAAGGAGAGGCGCCAGAACTGAGGTAGGAGGCCAGGGTGGGGTTATGTACTGGAGTCTGTCCTGGGGGCCACTTTAAATTGCAAGAGGGAGGCTCTATCTTCTTGATGGCTGAACACAACTGGCCTGAGCCTATCCTAGGGAAGGCAAGCTGTTTCCTGGCATAGGGCCAAGCAGCCACTGCAGAGCCACAAGTGTGGATTCTGTCAGGAAGGAAAGGCATCCGTCAGTGCGACAAGAAGCAGTCACCTTCGGACTTGCATGAACTCCTTGCGCAGCCATAAAGAGTCCTGGTAGAAGCGAGGGTCACCGAGTCTCACAGCCGTCCGTTTGTAGAAGTAATAGTATAATACTGCCGCTGTGGATAATAAGCAGAAACAAAGCCCCAGGGATGCTCCCGATTATTCATTTCATGTTAAGAACATAACCTAATGAGGCCAAGGGACCCTGCCTCGTGATTTCCCAGTGACTCCCAGAAAGGGTAGAGAGCACGGATCTCTCTTTCTTGGCATGGCTGCACTCCCCATCCCTTGTTGGCCCTGATGGGCGGGGAGGCTACTAGGGCCAAGGCGCTTACTACCAGAGCCATAGGTAGGAACAAAGTGAGGCTTGATTTTTACCCAGTCTCTGGAACACAAACAGTGTTTGAAGTCCATCTGTCCAGACAAAGCAGTTGGAATTTTTCCAGCGTAAGTTCTGAAGGAGAAATGAGTACATAGGGAAAGGTTAATGGTCAGATGAGGACCTAACATCTCCAACTTAGCTGCAGAGATGCCACTTGTTTGGTCTCACCCTCCTTTCTCTCTACAACCCCAAGGAGTGTTTCCCAATGGAGCCTCAAGCTCCCTTTTCTGCTGCAAGGGAATATCCTTTTATTCCTGAGAAAGGAAATATGAACTAAGCTATTTATTCCCTTTCACTCCCTTGCCTTTGCCAAGGAGAAACAATGATATTATCTCAGGAGTTCAGCACTGTCACCTTCTTGCCCTGAAAATCTCAGGCTCACTTCCTGTCAGATAAAAGCAAAGTGCACGCAAGGGTTAATCAGATTAACAGCCTCATAGTATAAAGCCAGGGCCTATTTTAGCTCAGGAACCAGAACAGAGACAATCCTCTTCAGGAAGCACCTAGAGACTCTGGCGCTGATCTGCTGCTTTTTTGTGAGTTCTACTTCTCTCCATGGAAATCACAGTGCAACCTAAAAGAGGGTTCAATCTGAGAAGGTGGCTTTAGTAAAGAAATGACTAGAGAACCCTTAGGTTTGAAGGCATTCTATCAAAATGGGTAGAAGAAATACATGTAACACCCCCCAAAAAAGGAAGAATTTGTGAGGCCGAAGAAATCTGAAACTACGAAAACTGAATTTGCTCTGAGGCCTATGTTAGAACTAAAGGGAGACATCTTAGAGGTTGGCTGTCCTGGTGTAATGATGCAGACACAGCAGAGGGCAAAGCACTACAGGGTAGGCAGCCCTCTTGCCTGGCTATTTTCCATGGGACACCAATGCCCAAGGATATCTGCCTGCCCAAACAGCTAATGGTGAAACAGATTCAACTTCCTATTTTGGCCCTGGCAGGCCTAAGGCAAAGGTGAACTGAATGGTTCAGAAGCATCCCTCAACTCTTGGATAAGGCTATTCTTCAATACGTGAGGTTGAGCAAAAGTGCCTTATGAAACTACATGTGCCTAGCTCCAGCCCAGAGCCCATTCATTTCACCACCTGTTGCCTATCAAGGATTCTGAGAGACACAAAAGCACGATGCCGGGCTCCCAGAGGAAAGATATTCCTAGCCCCTTAAGGATTCAGGAATTCAGAGCTCCACTCTTACCATGATCCAGACATGAAGAGAGATGCCGAGGGCGAAGTACACAGCTGTCAGGATGATGGTCCCTTTGAACTTACGGAATAGGAGGTTGACCAGGCCTGCCTGGAAGACGAAGGTGTTGAAGAACATGAGGAAAATGATGATGATGTTGAAGAGGATCGCAATATCCTGGATGCTGCAGAAACATAGAACAGTACAGCCAAATGGAGGCCTGTGTGAGGACCTAAGAGCTTGCCCTAAGTCCTCAGGGACACCATGAGGTCTGTCCTTCCCTGTCATATAGCATGGGCCCTGGGCCCTAATGACTAGCCCTAACTACCCGCTGGCCCCATAAGTTGAGCTGCAGTCCACAGACAACGCTTTCCTGCTCTGACACACTTAACCTCCTAGGCACTTGTGATGGGAAGTGAGTTTTTTCCGTGTCCAGAAAATGCCAGCCCTGTCTGTCACATAACCTGGTCCTATCAGACGTTTTCACCTAGCAAGACAGCGACATACTCTCCCTGATCTTTGCATGGCCATTACCTTACTGCTATTCAAATCTCAATTCAAATGTCTCCTCTTTAGAAAGGAGAGGTTTTCTTTAAGCCCACTACCTAAAGTAGCCCCCTTCTCCACTCCAACTACTTTACAGCCATTGTATGACACTTATTACTATTTGAAAATATCCTTTTTTCTTTTTTTTTAATGGACTCACTGTCTCTCTGCACTAGAGTAGATATTCCATGAGAGCAGGAACTTGTCAGGTTTACGACTGCGACTAGAACACTGTCTGGCAGGCCAACGAATACTTGTTGAATGAAGGAAGACCGTGTCTAAGACTGGTTTTCTTTTTAGAACTTGCTTCATGAAGTCTATAAATTATTGAGGAGGAAAAATGTCAATAGCTTCCATCCTACGGGGTTCATATATATTATTAATATGATTACCCTTTAATCTGCCATTTTGTAATCTTCTTTCCTGGCAATGTGTGACAGTATCTCTATTTACAAGGGAGAAAATGACAAGATCAGCAGTCTGACCCTCGTTTTCTACATAAACTGCTTCCTGGATCCCAAACCCCTCTCAGACATATATAAAAACAGGATCTGTGACATGTCTATGTACCATGGAGTATCCAGGACAATGTAAAGTTTTATTCTCCTGATATTTCCCTATTAATAACTTTGAAATGCTAAATCATGACTGTCATGGCTTTCAAATTGCTTGGCTTAGGCTTCCCAGTCTCACCCACTGAACTCACATGAAGAGCACCAGCTGGATGACAGGAGCCATGCGGAGTAGCTCTGAGAAGGAATTGACAAAGAGGTCATAGGACAGCAGCAGGAATTGCAGGGAGAGCACCAGGCTATAGTTACTGGTCTGGAGCATCTTCCTTCTGCTCTCTTGGGCCCCCAAGGGCACATTCCACAGTTCTCCAGAAAATAGATCCTGGCTCTCCCCAGTGCTGAGGGAGAAGTGTCTGGTTCCTCAAGATTGGTGTTGTTTCCCTTGCTCTGTTGAGACAAAATGAGGGAGTGAGAAATTCATCAGTATAATATTACTAAGGACCTGCTCTGTGCCAGGTCCCATTCTAGGTATGGGGGATACATCAATAAGCAAAACCACAGCCAATAAAAAACCCAACTAGTTACCCCTTCTGGGAACCCTCACCCTCAAACTTTTCTCCACACTTGGAACCTTCCAAATGCAGAGCTCTTTGTAGCCCTTTTTGAATCCAAAGGCATCTAGGGGGACTGCAAAGAATGACTGTCAGGTCACGTAACAATTCTAATATTAACTGCAGCAGTAAACCTTTACATATCACTTATAACATGCCAGGGGTGATTCTAAGCACTAACATTAAATCTCACAATAATTGCATCAGGTGGAAGATATGCTATTACTCTCCTGATTTTACAGATGTGACAACTGAGGCCCAGAGAGCTAAAACAATCTGTCCAAGGGTCACATTGCTATTAAGTGGCAGAGTTGTGGTTCAGATCCAGGCGATGTGGGTCCAGAGTCTGTGCTGTTAACTATGGAACAAAGCTGCCTCTTACATAAATGATAGACTGATATGTAACTAGTCAAGTGAAGTGGGAAGTGGTGTAGGCAGAAAAAGCTGAGAAAAAACAGAGCTCTCCCCCAAAATTTTATGTTTAAGGTTATGGTAGCAACACAGTGGCACCAGATAAGGGGAGCTGGGTCTTTTTTTTTCATGTATCCCAAGACCTAGAAGAAGTTGCTCTGGGGGTGTCCTAAGTTAGCATCCGTAAATGCTTGGCAATGTACAAGTCTTGTCATATTAGCTTATTTAATCCCATTTTGAGAAGTAGCTGTTATTAAGCATATAATGCCCATTTCACACAGAAACTCTGAGAGGTTAAGGAACCTGATCCACCTCACCTCGTGAAGTTCTGCCTCAGTGGTTGTATGTATTCTCCCAGCCAAGTTCCTTCATTCATCAAATAATATTGATAGCTATTGCTTACTTACCAGCACCATGATAAACTTGCCAAACCAAGATAATTTCCTTTAATCCTCGCAACTACTCTGCAACGAAGTAGGTAATTAACCCATTCTACAGGCAAGGACACGGTACGAGTTCAAGTCACTTCTCCAGGTCGCAGGTGCGCATTGCTAGGACTCACAGCTACATGGGACACCAACAGCAGGATGTGACACCAAAGCGCATGCTCTTAACCACTGCTTCACAAGCCACCGCCGTGGGCTCCCGTGGGGACCCGCTATATAGACCCGCCCACTGCAATCTCTACCGGAAAGATGCTCATCTTCTCCGGTTTAGGGCAGCGGTGATTTGCAAGGTAATGAGGCGATCCTTAGCTTGTTCACGCTACCTGCTGCATTCCCTTTATCCCCAGAACAGCTTTCTTCACCCTATCCAATCCACCTTAAAATGGAACTGTCGTGGCAAAAAACCAAAACAATAACAAAAATCCCGTCTTCTGGTCACTTTACCCGCTCCCCATTTAGCCCTCTCACCTCACAGACCCAACGTCGGTTGTCATGGGAACACAGTCCTGGCTTCCGGAAACCGGTCTTTAATTCCGGAAGTAGATGGCAAACGCGGGCTCAGTCTGCGCCGTGCTAGCCGTGCGTCCTGTTTTCTCTCGCCGCACTATGGCCGGCGTGCTGCCATGTTTGCGCCTCCGCTGTCCTGGGCCCGCCCCTCTCCTGGCCCTCCCAGCCGCTGGCCGAGGCCTTCTGCCCACTCCGCACGCGGCCTCTCTGAGGGCCACCTCTGGGGAGAGGTTTCGCGTCTGCCCAAGCATTCCCGCTTCCACGGGCTGGGGGGGTGAGGGACAGTGCAGACTCGTGGCGGCGCTCCTGGTCCCCGGAAATCCGGGCTTGCTGGAGTTGAGGGTCAGCACCTTGGCGTGCCGAGAGCTGGAAGCCTCGCGGTTCCGGACTTCATTTCCCAGGCGGCAGCACGCGTGACCGGACGTGCCGCGAGCACTGAGGGCGAGGCGACCACGCCCGTCAGCCCTAGGCGGCTAGTTCGCTGGGGCGGGGTGAGGTGTTCCCGGGGCGTCCATGGCCCTGACCCTCAGGAGCCTCGGGAGCTGCGGCGCGTGGTGCAAGAGACGGGTCTGGGAGACCCCTGAGTCCCACTGTGGTTTGGGGGTGAGGAAGAGCCCGGGCTGGGAGTTCAGGAACCCGAGTTCGAGTACTGGCTCTGTTGCTGCCTCGCCTAATGCTGTCGCGACCCTTCGCTCGGTCTCAGCTTTGCCTTTTAGGACATGGACTCCGTTCCCCGTGCCCTTCCGTCCACGAGTGGTGGTGGTTGCGGCACGAAAGATCTCCAGAAGTGACAGTCAGCGGGCAGAGCCCCAAGCCTTAATTTTCACCCAGGGTTAGCTGGGATCAAGGGCCGTTAGTTCCAGCAGACGAGTCAAGGTTCGGATCCGGGTCCCGGGTTCTCTGCACACCCGAGCTAGACCAGGGCACAGTCCGGAAGGGCGGTGCTAAGGGAGAGCCTTCTTATTTACCTCCGGACTGGAATTTAGGGTCCCTCACTCCCTAATTGACAGATGCTACGTCTGGAAGGGAGGAGTTGGAGCCGAGGACGAGTGAACCTGGATTCCTGTACCAGCTCTTGCCACTCACCTTTACCAAGTCACTTCTTTGGGCCCCAGTGTTTTTGATCTGTAAGATAAGAGTTAAGCACTGGAACTCTACATCTGGTTCTCAGAATTCCTAAAGCCCCCACCGTTCATGTGGGAAGCGGGAAAAGCAAACTGATGTTCTGTTCCTTCATCCATTGGGAGTTCTAAATTATAAAAGTATCATAAAACTTTGGAATACAGCCTTTTCCTAAGTCCAAGGGCTGAATGGAAACTACCCGTTTCCTACCCGGGGGCCTGATGTGTTTTGGTGTAGCCTGGGAGGCTCCTTCCTGCTGAGGGATTGAGAAGAGAGGTTGGAGAGTAGGCTCCTTAGATCAGGGTTAGTAAACCGATCTGCAGGCCAATCTGGCCCACATGAATGGTTTTTTACATTTTTAAATGTTTGAGAAAATTGAAAAGGATAATATTTTGTGACACGAAAATGATATGAAACTGAAATGTCAATGTCCATAAATAAAGTTTTTTGGGAAGACAGCCATGTTTATTTGCGAAGATAGTGTCTATGACTGTTCTTGCACTGTGTTAGCAGAGTAGGTGATATAGTTGTGACAGAGACTGTATGGCCTGTAAAGCCTAAAATAATGTAGGCAGCATAGACCCAGCTCTCAAGGCAGTCACTTGTCCCATTGATTCAACACTAAGAAGGTGACACTGTGGCCCTTCACAAGAGTTTGCTGACTTCTGCCTTAGAACGGAGCTCAGTAAAGTGAGAGCAGAATGAAACCAAACCATGGGGAGCACATCCTGAAATCATAGTACAACCTGCTCTGTGAGAACAAATGAAAGAAAATTCTCAGTGTTTGGACTGCAAACAAGCCTGCTGACCCAGAGCTCCTTTATGCTGACTGAACACTTCACTGAGTGTGACTGAACATCTGGTGACCTGAACTTCCTCTGCTCTTACGGGAACAATGGGGACAGCTCTGAATCTGGGTAGCAAATCTCAGAGCTCAGTGGTTGTGTCACAAGGCTTCCAGAAGCTGTAGCATGATTTTTGTCCTTCCAGCTTCGTGGAAGCTTATTTTTTTTCCCCAGCCCTCAGTGCTTCCTTTCAGGGATTACTGACAACTTGGATCACCTTGTGAGAGCTCAGCATCTGTTTCTGGTTAGGTGCACAGCTGGCCTGGAGAGAGCTGGGATGGCATGGAATCGGGGCCCCTGAGGGGCCTGGGCAAGCATGGGGGCCATGAGCTTCAGGTTTTTGTTAGAAGTTACAATGAAATACTGGGAAAATACCAAGAAAAGTATAATAATTTACTCTCAGTGTCCTTATAAACATTTTCTCACTTGATCTTCCGACCACCTGTGGTCAAGGAATAAGCATGGTCTTTGAAGCCACACAGACAAGGTTTGAAACTCCCTGCCCATTTACTGGGTTCCTAATGCTACATACTTAATCTCTGAATCTTAGTTTCTTTACCTATAAAATGTGGATGATAATTCCTCACAGGGTTGTTGAGAGGAGTAAAAGGAATCACACTAAAACGTGTGTGACGTTCTAGTGTGGTGTCTGCTCATATCTGTTTTTCAGTAAATGATACTCTTATTTTCATGCCTTTCTTTCAGATGAGAAGACTGAGTCCTACAAATGTTAAGTGATTTGTTCAGGTGCCTCAGTTCATAAGAATTGGAGCCCAGACCATCACTCTATTAGCTTGCCACCAGGTCTAAAGGTGAGCAGTCAAGGGTTTTATCTCCTTGGGACTTCGTGGCTATTTTAGGAGCCTTGTCTTCTGTTAGCTGGTTCAGATCAAGGGACCACAACTGCAGGAAGCCACAGTGTCACCTTCTTAGTGTTGAATCCATGGGACAAGTGACTGCCTTGAGAGTTGGGTCCATGCTGCCTATACATGGGCTGAAAGTGGAGGCAGTCCTGTGGCTTTGTGCATTTGTGCATCAACCCTCAAGCCCACTTGCTTGGCTTTTAAGAGCAGCTGCTCAGGGGCCTAGGCATTCTTCATGCCTGAAACCAGAGTTGCGTATCAGATAAATGTAAATCTCAAACTCTTGCTTTCTAGACCATGAATTCTTGTTTCCTCTTTTCTCCTTTTAACTTTCCCCAGGGGAAAAAAAAAACAGAAGTCTCAGGGCTGGGGACAAGTGAGGGCTATTGCCTCATTCAGGGTGTGGAGTGTGGGATTGTGGAGTGTGGGATTCTGGAGTGAGGACGTGCTCTCATCTACCTGATGAGAGGATTAGCCCACAGAGTTCACCGTCTGGAGAAGAACTCTGTAGAAGTGGGAGCCCACAGGACTTCCTCCTGGCTGGCCTAATAGTGTGCTTTCTCCTTGTAGGTTGTGATTTTGCCTCCTTATGTTAGAAATGAGAGCTGACCTAGGCATTTGTGTGCTCTAGCCTGGGTTTTGACTCCTGTCCTTTCTTTTCTCTGGCGGGCACCCTCTTCTGGTCCTGCGAGGGGAGACTAATTCCAGGGCTCTTGGCATGCAGCCACAGCAGAGGAGGCCCCTCTCCAGGGCGGGCTCCAGGCCTGAGCTAACTGCCCTGTGCATTGCCAGGTGCTGGGGTGGGGCCTCAGTCACTTCTCATAACCAGAGTGCAGGCCCACCCAGCCCATCAAGGCTTCACAGGGTGGTGCCAGGCTGACGGCAGGGGAGCTGAAGCAAAAAGTACTCACCCTTTGGGCCAAGGTCTGTGTTACCTCCTTTAGCCAGTGTGCAGGGCACACCCGTGCCAGCAGAGCCATCAGGGATGTGTAATTTCCACTTCATCCAGGAGTGCCTGATCAGAATGGCTATGGGATGGTTCTGTCTGCCTTTCTGTGCACTATGGCTCCTGGGCTCGATGTGCATCCTCTTCACCATCTACTGGATGTGCTACTGGCATGGAGGCTTTGCTTGGGATGACACCATTTTTATGTTCAACTGTCACCCAGTGCTCATGGTTGCTGGCATGGTGGTGCTCTACAGTGCTGGTGAGTAAGGGGTCAGCCTGGGAGACGTGCTGGCCTGGGCGGGCGGAGTGCTCCCTCCCCAGAGCTGGCCTTTGTCACTGTTGGGTATGGGACTATGGGGTTGGTTTTAGGGGGGGGCTGTCTCTGGGCCCAAGTATCATTTGGAGGAAGAAGTGAGAATTGGGGCATCTGAGAAGGGCAGTTTCACAGATACTCTAGGGCAGAAGTAGGCAAATGTTTTCTGTAAAGGGCCAGATAGTAAATGTGGTAGGCTTTCCAAGCCGTATTACCTGCGTTGCAGCTACTCAGCTCTGCTATTGTATTGTGAGAGTGGCCACAGACATCATAAAAATACACGCATGGTTCACTCCACTAAAACTTGACTGACAAAATTAGATAGCGGGCTGGATTTGGCCTGTGAGCTATAGTTTGCCAACCATGTTCTCAGGAGCAGGAGATTAAAGCCTACCATGGCATAGTCAGGTCCTTATATGAGAGATCTGCTTTCTCCAGCCAGACCCATCTTTGCCTGGCCCATCCAGAGCTGCGCCTTGGGGCCCAGGTGAGCCTCATGTCTCACTTGTAAAATGGGAATGATGACATTGATAATAGCAGCTTACCCTATGTACTTCAGATACATTATCCCATTTTGTTCTTACAGGAAGCTTGTGAGGTGGACACTATTGTTACCCCAGGTTACAGATGAGGAAACTGAGATTTAGAAAGAAGATGTCAAATAGCTAAGAGGCAGAGCCAGGATTTGGACCTAAGTCATCTAACTCACAGCCTGGGTTCTTGCAACTCATGTCAGTTGTGAGAATTCATTTTGATGAAATAATGAATGCGACACTGTTTCTTAACCTGCAGAACTACATACAACAGTTTTTAAAATGCATTTGTTATTGTAATGACAGAATGGGAGGTCCAAGAAGCTGCTCTTTCCTCTTTACCACGTCTCTTCTCCCCCATTCATGGCTGACTGCTGTCCCAGAAATGGGGTGAGGACAGAAGATACAGAGGAGTTGACACTGATGTTCTAGCCCTTCCTTCTCCCCTCTCTGGGGAGGCTGTGTGGGATCCTATCAGGGCGATTGTTATAACGCGTGGCTGAGCACGAGGGGAGGAGGCTGAGCCTGGGGACTGCTCTCTCTTGCAGCTTCACTGGTGTACCGCCTGCCTTGGTCATGGGTGGGACCCAAGCTGCCCTGGAAGTTTGCCCACGCATTCCTGCACCTGACAGCCTTCATCCTGACCATCCTGGGGCTGGTGGCCGTCTTCAGGTTTCACAACCATAAAAACACTGCCAACCTCTATTCCCTGCACAGCTGGCTGGGCATCACCACCGTCTTCCTCTTTGCCTGCCAGGTGGGTTCTCTCTGCCTTCCTTTGGGTTCCCACTACTGGGTGGCAGCCGTGGGCTCTGGTTGGGGCTTTGCTTGCAGCAGCATCTACTCCCTCTTCTTACTGCCTGGAGAAGGCCTTTCAGGGCACATCCTCGTAGACCCAGCAGCTTAAAGGGCTCCGGGAGATTGGCGGCTCCAGCACTCCCCATCATGTGGCCGGCTGTGGTCCTGGAGTGCTCCGAGCTAACTTTGTCGCAGCATGAACCATGCCGGCTCTACACCAGCTTTACCAGCTTCCCCATTCCCACCTTTCAGGGAACCAGAGGCAGCTCTAGAAGTGGTTTCTGAATTCTGATGTGAGCCCTATACGAGGGAGGAGTGTTATGAGCCAGGACTGGAAGGGAGCTGGCAAGCGAGGATGGCTGGGTTTGCGGGGGACTGTGTGGTAGCTGAGCATTTCCTGTAACGTTCTTGTTTGTGTCAGGCAGACAGACCACAGCGAGGAAGTTAGGTGTAGTGCTGGGGCAGCGCCTGGCGGGAAGTTTGGGGTGGGACAGAAGGGCGAAGGCGCACTGCTGGGGTGGGATGACTTGGTGCACCTTTGGCCACACACGTTACGGTCACGTACTTCCTCCGTGTCCACAGTGGTTCCTGGGCTTTGCCGTCTTCCTGCTGCCCTGGGCGTCCCTGAGGCTGCGCAGCCTCCTTAAACCCATCCACGTCTTCTTTGGAGCCTCCATCTTATCTCTGGCCATTGCGTCTGTCATTTCCGGCATTAATGAGAAGCTCTTCTTCAGTCTGTGAGTGGGGTGTGGACCCAGACTCAAAGGTGGAGGGGAAGGAGTAAGGTTTTTAAAAGTTGTATCCAATGATCATAGGACCCATCGGGGGGAGCCTTGAGGGTTGGACTTGTTCCTCATCTGGAAGGTAATGGAATTGGTCTTTCTTTAGGTTGATATTGGTAAATTGGTCAGCAAATATCCAGCATCAAACTGACTTAGCACCTACTGTGTGTCAGAAGCTATTCTAAGCACCTTAAATCTAATCTTCTAACCACCCTACAACATAAATACTGTTGTCATTGTCACTTATAAATGAGGAAATCGAGGCACAGAGAGGTTAAGTAATTTACCTAAAGGCACACAGCTGGGATTTGAGGTAGGTTTAGAGCCTGCATGCCTAACCACTACCATCCCCCATTCTTTCCAGGCAGTGGGGTGTACTGAAAGCGAGTAAGAGTTGAGATCAGACCTGGGTTTAGATCTTGGCTGTGCCATTTACAAGTTGTGTAACTGGGCCCATTCATTCCACCTCTCTGAGCTTTTGTTCTCTCATAGGTAAAAAGCATTCTATGAATATTTGTTGTGGTGGCGGGGGGCTGAGAAAGTATGTTAATATTCCAGATCACAGGTGGTCCTGGGAAGCTTCTCTCACCCTTTGTTAGTGGCACTGAATCTCCTGTTGGGCAAAAATGTGTGGAAAAGTCTCTTGAGGGCCCTTGTTTTGTTCTTTTCAGGCAAAATGCCACCAACCTGTACTCCAGTCTGCCCAGTGAGGCTGTCTTTGCTAACAGCACTGGGATGCTGGTGGTGGTCTTTGGGCTGCTGGTGCTATATATCCTTCTGGCTTCATCTTGGAAATGCCCAGAACCAGAGATCCTGACGGAAAGACAGGTATGGGGGCCTGGTCTCCCATTCCAGGTCCAGGCAGGGGTAGGGCCAAATCTAGAGAAGGGCCCCTCAGGAAACGCTTGGGCCTTGCCGGTAACCCAGTAACATGGTGGGAAACCAGTTGTTTGAAGGTGGGGGTAGGTGGGATGAAGGGAACCCCTTGTACCAAACCAGCACATCCCAGCCTGCTCAGGCTCAGGGGCTCCTGGGGGCCTGTCCACTGGGAGAGGGCAGGGGGTTACTGCCCTTCCCAAATTCCTGTGGTTTCAGCAGAAGTGAGGCCTTATCTTCCCAAGGAAGGGCTTGAGCATGATGAGAGGATGTTGTAATTTCTACTTTTCCAGCTTTGGGGCTTGTCTAGTGGGATGGGAGCTTATCTAGTGGGGCTTGGTCACAGGTGGAGTGCTTGGAACAGGTTTTGCCTGTTCTTGGCCACTCAGGTGCCTGAGGGATGTGGTGAGATGGGGTGTGTATCAGGCTGAGGGACTTTGGCGCTTCCCTGAAAGACCTGGCAGCTTACCTGGGGACTACGCCAGACGTTGGAGGTCTTTCTGAACAGCTCAGACCTGGTGTGACTCTGCAGGTCAGGGGCCGTTTTGAATTTTGATGGTATGCCATTAACTGCTGTGCATCTGCCTGTCTTTCCAGCCCCTGTTGCATGATGGAGAATGAAGCAGGAAGTGGGTGCTGGGAGCCATCAGTGGTATGGTCTGGACTCCTCTCAGAAGCTCTGCTCTGCCTGGGGCTCCGTCTGTTTCAGCAGCAAACTTGCTTTGGTCTCTCGGCTAAGACCTCTCTCCTGCTCTCTGAAGTCATGCTGGTTTCCCCTTTAGGCCCCTAGGGTTGTGGTACAAAATCCCCACAGCCCAGGTAAGCCAGAACTTGAGTGCAGTCTGCAGTGTGAAATGTGCAGGAGGTGACTGTCCCTCAGCTTTCCCATTGAAGGCGTGCATTTCATTTAGGCCACCACCTGCCATGGGGCAGGCTTCACCTGCCCTGTCATCTCCTCCTGGACGTGAGGCTGGGTGGGCCCATCGTGAGGTGATGGAATGAGTAGGGAGGGTGGTGGCAGGGCAGCTTCTGCAGAGAAGCCGAGCTGCGGCCTGCTCTTTCCTGTTGTCTCATGTCACTGCGTTCTGTGCGTGCACGGTGGCCACTTGGCTCCACCTCTTCTAGAGGCTGCCACAGCTCGGGCCTGGGCCCCAGCCTTTCCCTGACTTACACTGCCAAGCAGCCTAGCAAACCCTGGTAACCTGCTTTCTCAAGAACAGACAGTGTGGCCCCAGCTTTCCCGACGGATGAGTAGCAGGGGTGCCTCAGACTTCCTTTCCTTCTCTCTGGATCAGGGCTTCCCTGCCTGTCCCCTGGCAGGTTCAGCCTGGCTCTTGGCAGGGCCCTAGCCAGCTAAGTTTCACTCCCCAGCTCACATGCCTAAGTCGTGCACTGTGCCAGCCAAGCTCTGGGAGCCATGGCCATCTTCAGAGGTGTCCCTTGCAGAGTGTCAGAGTGCCTTATCTGCCCCCACAACGGCTGCTTGCCTAGTCAGACCCAGTCTCATGTGTTAGGCCAGATGGTGAGCTGCTGTTCCTCTCCAGTGGAGAAGCTGGGGTGGAGAGGGAGGAGTCCTGTTCCTCCCCTAAGTGCGCTGCTGCAGCCTTTCCTGCCCTCTCCAGACGAGCCCTGGCCAGGGCCGAGGCCACATGGCTTAAAGAGAAGCAGCATGTCACTAACTCCAATAGGTGGCGAGGAGGCTGACTGTCCACCCCAACCCCATGTGGCTCTATGTTGGTAGGAGGGCTGTGACTGAACTTCTGGAGGGGACAGAGCCTTCAGTCATTGGGATGACTACTAGGTGCCTTTGTCCCATGACCAGCTCCCCTTCTTTCCATATGAGTAGGCATTTCACTTGTTTATGAAGCTTGACTTTCATTAATCATATTCTTAAGAATCAAAGCCTTCTCTGCTGAAATGACATTGTGGTTAAATGAGCTCTGGGCAGCTTGTCAAAACCTTGGACAGTCCTGACCCTCAGACCTGGGGAGGGCCAAACCAGAAGGCACTGAATATCCATGATTGTCCTGGAATCGTGTAACTCTACATGTGTGGCTGTCCTCAATAGTGAATGGCTTTTGAGCACTTGGTAACCATTTCCTATTTTATAGTCTGGAACACAAGACTCAAAAAGGGTGACTTGATCATTGGTGCCTGAGGTCACCCAGCCAGGAGGTGCGAGTTGGGATCCACAGGCCTGGTGTCTGACACAAGTGTCCTTCCCGGCGCTCGGTGTGTGGTCAGTGCACACTGATAACTGTGCCTTGCCATGGGCCCCTGGCAGAGCAGGAGCCCTGGACAGATTGAGGGAGGCTGCAGCCACATTTAGGCAAAGTGAGTGATGGCGGGTCCCCTTCCCAGTGTGACCAGCTGTAGATGCCCGTGGTGGTGGAGCAGACATCCTGGAAGCAGGTGAGTGCAGATACTAATGATAATAGGAACTCCCTCAGTGAGCAGCCAGACTGTGCTGGAGTTGGGAGGGGTGTTAACTCCATGAATTCATTTGAATCCTTTCCACATCCCCAGGAGATGGGTACCATTCAGAATTTACGGTGCAAGTGACTGAGTTCATATAGCTGGTTTGAAGCAGAACCAGAATTCAAAGTCACATCTGAATCCAGACTAGTGCTTTCAGCCACTCCTCAGCACCAAGCATGGACCCAGTGTGCACTGTGCTGTCTCTACCATATGCCAGACTCCATGTCCTCGCCTGCCTACCCACGTGCTATCAGTGATTGCTCTACAGAGAACTGGGGGCTGGCTCAGGTGGGCTGCTGTGTGAGCCTTAGGATTGTGATTTCTTTTCCTTCTGGTGTCTCATTTGCCCATTTGATTCCCAAAGAATCAGTGAATTCTGTTACCAATGATAGGAGCACACACATCAGGTGTGGAGTGTGGAGTGGAAGGACAGCAATGGGGGTCCCAGCTGTGTAGACCCTGCCTAGGTCTCAGGTGGTAGGAGATGTGTCATGATCATTTCAATCAGGGCTGACATTAGAGGGCCCCCTTGTTCACATGCTTGGAAAGAGGTCCCTCAGGAAGCAGTAGCTCTGTTGTTTCAATGTGGTTTATTAGCTTGCTTTTCCACATGGACTCAGGTTCAGGTGCAGAAAGCCTTTCACCGGGAGTCTTAAAACCAAATTAGCATTGCCATTTAAAGGCTGTGCTGCTGCCCTGGGGAAATGCCTTATTGTTGAAGCTTCAGTTGGCTGGGGTGGAGCAGGGTGGTCTCTGAAGGTAGAAGGGCAGTCCTGAAGTGGCATGTGACCCACCCAGTGCCTGCAGTTTCTACAGTGGAGCAATTCTGAAGGCTGGTAGAGGAGTTGCTGAACTCAGAAGACAGGCCCTGGGGACAAAGGGCAAGGGAGGGTGACAGGTGGAAGGAAGAAGGAAGTGATGTGGCTGCCTTGCACAGCAGTGAGAGGCACTGAGGTCCAGGGAGCATTCACGTACCCTGGCTCTGCAGGACCTCCATGATGGCATGGAGAATGGCTGCAGCCGCCACTGCCCCGGGGTCTGGCTGATCCAGCTGCGCAGAGCTGATATAACTGGCTCTTCCAGCTCCGGCTTCCATGTTCTTGGTGGCCTCAGCTGCAGCTTCTGCACTCTGAGGGGGGGATGGTGTGGGAGCAGGTTAAAGGATGAGGCACTGGACCTCCTTCCTGCCATGGACCCTGGACCCTCCTGTCCAGCTCTGCCAGCACCCTCTGTACTGTCACCAGGGTGGAGAGGTGACCTGCCACCTGCCCCCAGCAGGGTGAGGGGTCCACTATTTACCAAGGGCCTGCTATGTCCCAGGTACCGTGCAGGCTCTACATACCTCTTTAGTCTCACAGGAACTCTCTGAGACAGGTACTCACCTCCATTTTTAGAGGAGGAAACAGGTACAGGAAGGATGTTGACTTGCTGAAGGTCACATGGAGATGGGAGCCAGGTGACTGCAAGCCTGTCTCCTTGGGTGGCTGAGCCCAACTCTACTCACCTTGACTGCTTTGGTCAAGATTTGGAATAGATCAGCCCCTGGGTTCTTCCAGGCTTGGAGCTCCTGTGCTGCTGCCCACAGAGAATCCAGCTAGATAAGGTGAGGGAGAGAGGGCTGAGGACAGGCCCTGCTACTACTGGTGGCCATCAGGGCTTCTACACCCAAAAGGGGGATGGGCCAATACATACCATAGTCCTGTCTCCTGGAGCAGCCTTTCCATACCTGGCAAGGAAAGAATGAACGAGATCACTGTAGGGACCCAATTTCGGGGGTGGGAGAGGGCCTGGCTGAGACAGATGACATCAACCACCACCCACAGCCTGTCTTTGGTCTAGGGCATAGGGCTCTGGCTCACTTCTGCATAGCCTCCAGGCCTGCATCCATGGCAGCACACCAGGCTGGGAGATCGGCCTTAGCCTTGAGTGGCTGGGCTGCTGCAGTCAGGAACAGGCCGTAGAGCTGAAGAGGGCCAGAATTCTTAACACGTGGTGCTGGCCTGGGCCTCAGCCAACACATTTCCCTCCGTCAGCCCTCTGGTCCAGGGGGCTGCCAGTACTCACCGCTCCAGATGAGCCTCCCATTTTCTCCAGTAGTAAGAGGGACAACTTGGAGAGTAGCTGGGCAGGGCTGGCCGGGGGTGGGCCCTCCTTCAGCCACTCCTGGATTGCTGCAGGGAGGGAGAGAGGGCGCAGAGCTCACAGACCCACTCCCCCATCCACCTGGACCCCAACCAAGTACCCAGGTCTCACTGCCAGGCCCTGGGAGAGGCTTAGGGAACCAATGTGGAGAGATTCCCTAGGCTCCCTTCCTACACCTTGTGTGCAGTCTGGAAAAAAGGTGGGAAAGGAGGCCTCAGCAGTCACCTAGCAGGTGAGGCCTGCCCTCAGCATCCTCAGCCTGACGTTCCATACCTCACATCCCTGCTTCACTTCTCCTCAGCCCTTTGCACTACGTGTGGCTGCTCTGCCTTTACTGGCTGTCTCCCCTGCAGAACAGAAGCCAGAGGGCAGTGATGTTTATCTGCTTTGCTCACTGTTGTATCCATAGCATCAAGAGCAGGGCCTGGTCCATGGTAGGCTCTAGATAAATTCTTCTTGACTGAATAGTGCTGGATAACTAAGAGCTTTTCACCACTCTAGGTAAGCTGAGAAAAATAAGGAGACACTAGAATAAGTTCTCCTTGAATCTAAAGTTAATGTTCACCATATGAGATTCCAGTTTATTCTGTGATAACCTTCCTACCTTCGTAGTGGCAGAAGGGACTGTATGAAACAGGTGAAAGGGGCCCTAGGTTCTGTGAATGACCTCTCTCGGCAAAATGAGTTGGCCACCTCACATGAGCACTCCAAATGCTTTCAAAATTGTTCTGGTTCATGAAAAATGCCGAAATCTCAGAACTGAAGTGCCAGGCCAGCCCCTCCCCTGGCCCTAACCTCTGGCAGCACGGCTGTGGGTAGTGCCACAGTCCCCATCACCCGCAGCGCGGTCCAGGGCATTCAGGTGTTCCTCCAGGCCCAGCAGGGTGGCACACACCCGTTCTAGCACAAGCACCATCCGCTTTGAGGCCAAGCCTGAAGAGACAGGACATGGGGAAGAAGCCCACCTGGTCCTCAACTGCATTTGACCAGTGTGGGAGGTATGGGTGCCAGGGCCCCGCACACCCTGCACCCTTCAGGGCTCAGGCCATTGCCCTGGGCCACCTTCCCAAACAGCAGAGCTTGCTACCTCCTGCAGCAGTAGAGTCAGGGGCCTCCAGGGGCTCAGTGGGGGCTGCCCGGCTCCGCTGCCGCCCAGTCACGGAGACCTTGGCCACGTTAGGCCAGGCTGATGCAGTGGTTTCAGCATCTAGGGACAGCAGAATGACTCTTAGCTTGGCCAGGGTTCAAGTGGCCTGGGCTCTCCACCTGGTGCCCTGGCTGCCTCCACCTCAACAAGTATTTAGTGTGTACTGTGTACAAGCAAAGGGAGGGAGGTCCCTGGGGGAGATCCTAATATCAACTCCACAGTCAAGTGAGAGCTTGTAAAGGCTGGAGAAGCCAGAAAGGGCCTCTTCATGGGGTCCTGATGGTCATGGTCAGCTCTGATAGGGTCTCTCCAAGCCTCCCAGGCTCCTTCCAGCTACAAGGAGCTTTGGCTTGGGTAACCCCAGCTTCCAGTCTCACCGATCAGCGTCAGGAGGGGATCATCCACCTGCAGAAGGGTGAGAGAGACACCAGGCATCTCCAGGGCTGACATGAAGGTGCCCACTAGGGCACGGGCAATCTTCACTCCACGGGCCTCTGCAATATCAGAGCATGGAAGCCCATGAGGGAAGGATGGACACTTCCCCCTGCAGCACCAGAGAGAGAAAAAGAGAAAAGCAAGGACTATGCCCGCTGGGGTCTGAGGTCAGGCAGATTTCCTCAGTGATGCCCCAGTCACTCCATTCCCTGAAGCTGTCGCTTCTGTAGGGGCTGATGAGTACTTACACGTCTCATTTGCTGAGTTCCTACCAGGTGCCAAGTGTGTTACACATTCAATCTCATTTAATCCTTACAACAACTCTTTAAGGCAGGTACTCTTAGTAGCCCTCTTATAAAAAAGGGAACAGGCTCAAAGCACACAGCAATTAGGTGGTAGAGGGACTACCTAACTGGGGCTTGTCTGCATGCTCGGGGCCATTACAGGACCCTATCTCTGCTGCTTTTCTTAGGTCCGGCTTCAAAGGGCTGGAGGGAAGATGCTCCAGGGTTTGGGAGGTCCCCTCCAGTGTGGGGCTCACCCAGAGAGCAGATGGCAGCATTGGCTATGATGCCCAGTTCCAGGAATGACAGGCCACCCAGGTTGTTGACCATCAGCACCACTGATGAGCCTGTGGGCAGATACAACACCCAGGTGAGACTCTGGGCCCCCCTTCTCTGAGGGGGAAGAAAGGCTGGGAGACAGAAGGTGCGACAGCCCCTCACCAGACTGTACAGGCACATGGGACACGTTGGAGGAGTTCGTCATGTGATCAAGCATGAGCGTCACAATTTCATCGGCGGATGCCATCTGCAGGGAGCCAGGAGTGAGCTGTGTTGGGGAGGCCTTGGTCTGAGACCAACCTGGGCAGGGAGTCCACCAACCTTTATCCGGCGCACGCCAGCTTCCCCATGGATCCCTGTGGACAGACGTCACTGCTGGCCCACTCTAGACCCTGGAATTTGCTCATCACGTTTTTGTCAAGGATTTACTCAGTGCTTGGACTAGGCTAGGCACGGTCGGTGTACATGGGGAGTGGAAGGGGAATTGGACAGTATAATGGAAAATACACAACCTCTGCTCTCCGGGAGCTATGGGTTGGTGGTAGAAATAGCCAGAACTTAGCTTTTAACTAGTTACGTAGCTTTAACCAGAGGCGCTCATGAGTAGCTAGGCCATATGAGGTTTCTGCCCATTACTTTGGAAGCACAGGGAAAGAAGAGGGAAGGTTTTGCAGCTGGGGTGGCCTCTGAAGCACCCTTGAAGGAGAGCTGAACATTGACAGGAGCAGGGAGACGCAGGGACAAGTGAGCAAAGGCAGGAAGTGGGAGGGGCATGGGGCCCACGGTGCCTGAGGCCTGGGTGCGGGTGGCAGACAGGTGGAGGTCAGGCAGGTTGGGCAAGAAGGACCTCAAGTGGTCACTTAAAAATATGAAGACCACCTGGGTAACAGTTCCAGGGGAGCAGAGAGGCTCAGGTAGATGGCTGCCAGAGCACAGATGTGGACAAAACTCAGGGAACAGGCATGACTGGGTCACAAGTGGCCACAAACTTACCAAGGCCCAGCTCTACCTCATCAGCTGAGAGCTCAAAGGTGGGTCTGGAACCAGGGATGCTGCAAGAGGACAGGCTGACCCCCAGAGTTCCTGTGAGAAATACGTGCTGAACGGGATGCCGGCCTGGCTCTTCGCATCAGGCATCCAGCTGGCCTGCAGCAGTTCCTCAGAAGTCCTGCCCGTGGGCAGCATTTTCACTGCCGGGGCCAGACTCCTCATCTCAGAGAGGAAAGAGAAACCCAGCTCTGGGCCGCAAGGCTACCAGCCCCCAGGAGCTCCCGAAAGACCCTCCCTCATCCCTGGGGAATTCCCTGGACTGCCCTCCTGCGCAGCTGTCAGGAACCTGCTCCTAGTCCCATGGTTGGCCTCCACCCCCACTCCCTGCTTTCCAGTCCCTGGGCTGGCACTCACCCATGGCCTTGGCGATCATGCTCACCCGATTTGTGATCTCCTCCAGCCCCACACCGGCCTCAGCCAGGGCACCTGCCACCTGCACCCATACAGAGATAAGCCCCCAAGGGGGAAGGAGTCACCACGTGGGGGCAAAAGAGAGGCTGGGCTGAGTTTCCGGTTGGGAAGCAGACATCTCTTAGTACTGCCACATCAACCTAGCCCATCATATTTAGGACAGAAGAGCAACCCCCTGTATTCACAATGTACCGCCAGGAATCTTCAAGAATCTGTCGGATCTGGAAGGGAGTTTATAATTAGAGAGAGAAATGGGGCCAGAGAGGAGAGGTGACTTGTCCAATGTCACACAGCCAGCTGGTCATCAGTTTCCTGATTCCTAGTCCAGAGTTCTTTCTCCATGGCATTTACTCTGTGGCTCACTTTACCACATGCCCATTCTTACATCCACCCACTCACCCACCAATCCGCCCACATTTTGCCAAGCATCTATGGCAAAATGTATGTGCTGAAAAGGACAAAAAGGTGACTAAGTCTCAGTCCCCACCTTGCAGGAACTCTCAGTCTGGGGAGGGGATGAGGAAGCAGACACACACAAACTGAACACTGAATGTGAGGTGGGAAGAGCAGTGGCAGCGGTCACGATAGGATGTTACAGGACCACTGAGGAGGCAGACCCCTAGAAGAACGGCTGGCAAGGGTGGGCCTCTACAGGAGGGGTTGGCCAGGCAAAGTAGGGTTGCACAGGAAAAGGATTTTCAGAGCCACAGATTCAGCACGAGCAAAGCCCCAGAGAGGAGCACAAACCTGGTGGTACTGGGAACTGATGTTAATGGAGAATGAGAGGATAGGAAAGATGACAGATGAGCCTGGAAGGTCAGGAAGGAGGGGCAGTGTGGTAGGCGCCTGGCCCAGGAGCCGGGAGTGACTCTAGGGACCCTAGGGGGCTTTCAGCAGGTCAAAACCTGCTCAAGTTGTTGATACACATTTTCCAAAGACACCTGTGGGTTGTGGGGAACAGACTGGAGGAGTAGGCAGGACACAGGCAGGGTAGCCCCTGCATCCCCTGGGTACAAGGAGATGAGCACTGAACCAGGGCTCAGATGGGAAAGGCAGGGCTCAGGACGTGTATTGTTGAAGCACTCAGGAGTAGAGCCGCCAGGTCAGGGGCACCGGCTGGGTGTGGGGAAGGGAGAGGGAAGCCTCAGGAGAATGCCTATATTCCGGGCTTAGGTAGTTGAGGGGATGGCAAGGCCTTCCTGGATCAGGAGTCGCTTCTTGCAGGGTGGGCTGGCTGGAAAAGTCCAGGCACCAGGTGCTGCCTGGAGAAAGAAGGCTGAGCTAGGCTGGCCAGCCAGTGTCCAGGTGGGGAATCTCACCTTGTGTATGAGCACTGTGCCACAGAGCCCCCGCCTGCCTGCCTTCTTCAGGACCGCGAAAGCGCTGTCATCCCCGATGACCACCATCTCCACGGAGATGCCCTCAGCCTGGGCTTGCTCCCGGGCCAGGCCAAAGTTGAGCCGATCCCCAGTGTAGTTCTTCACAATGAGGAGGGTCCCTACTGCAGGAGCAGCCAGGAGGGTTGATCAGTGCTCCCCTTCCCCACAGCAGCCCCTCCTGTTCCCCCTGCAACAGCCCCTCCTGCATGCCAGGCTTACCTGTGCCCACCTGGGCCACTGCCCTGATGGCCGCCAGGATGCTGCCCACTGCTGGGGAGGTGAACACGGCTCCGGCAATGATGCCCGTCAGCATCCCCTTCCCTATGAAGCCTGGAGATGGAAAGGATGCTGGGCGAGGACCTGTGCCTGCAGTCCCTGGGACTCCCCATGACCCTGAGCTTCCTGTCTGGCGAGCCTCCTATGAGTTTGGTGCTAGAGGAGCACTGAGTCGCTCTCTGCAGCTCTTTCCTCCGCGGAGAGGCCTTCCCCGGCCTCCCAAATGAAGTACTAACCCCCACCCATCTCTGGTGACTCGCTGTTCTTTTACCCTGCTCCCTGTTTTCGCTACCTCACTTACATGCTCTGGAATGCTCTTTCAGCTGTCTGTGTGCTCAAAGAAGAAAAACTCCATGAGGGCAGGCACTGTCTGGTTCAGTGCTGCAACCCTAGTGCCTAGAGTAGAGCCAATCACACACAGGTGCTCATTCATGTTTGCTGAAGGGGCAGGTGGACTTGCCAAATGGAGACAGGAAAGGTACACAGTACACGAAACCTGGTCCTGGCCCCTTGGGGCTCTCAAGGAGAGCTCATATGCCTGGCACTGAGCAGGAAACATTCCAGGACTGTCCATGTTGTATGTGAAAATGCAGACTGGGAATTCAGAAGAGGGATACTGCTCTAGGCTGGAAAAAATCAGGAAGGCTTCATGGAGGAGGGGATGGGTCAGCTGGGCCTGGCAGGCCCGGAGGACTCACCAAAACACCACCCACTCTCAGGGCTTGGAAGGCCTGAGAGATCATCTGTCCTAACCTTGTACTTTTATATATGTAGAGACTGAGACCCAGAGAGAGGCCACAACTGACCCCAGGTCACGGCCCGAGGAAGTAGGAAAGCAGGAACCAGGACCCAGTTCCTGACTCTGGGCCAGGCTCTACCCTGACCCTCCTAGCAGCACTGAGGATCTCCCAGGAGCCCCCCTCCACTCTTGTCCACCTCTGGCTCAGGGTACTCACCAGCATGGGCAGGCTCATGGCCAGAGCCCCCACCAGAGAGCAGTGCCACCTGGCCCTTGAGGCTGTCCAGGTCAGAACGGAGGGCAACCCGGTGGCCCTGTAGGAGCTGCAGGTTGGGGTTGCAGGCCACCAGCCCAGCAAGGGCATCGTCAGCACAGCCTGCCACTGAGTTCACCAGTTTCTTGGAGGTCTGCAGGAGAAGTGCAGGGAGGAGGTGCCGGGTGTGATTGGCAGGGACACCCCCTCCTGCTCAGCCACACTGTCATGGGTAAGATCCCTCCCTCTTCTGAGAACTCCAGGGACATGGGAGTTCCTTGAATTGGGTGTCACTTTATTAGATGGATGTTTCTGTGAGTTCTCTTCTTAATTTGTGACTTTTTATTCAGTGCCTAATTTAGGAAGCTTAAATTTATTCTAAAGAATGGCTGCAATACAAAGAAAATGGGGAACTGTAGTCCTGAGTGGAAAAAAAAAGAGAATGAAATTGGGGCCAACAGTCTTCTTCTGTCTAGAAGCCCCCGACTCAGGGTCCTGTTCCAGGGGAAAGGGCCCAGACAGGCCACACACCCATGTGCTGTTCAGACTGGGCCTTTGATGCAGGGCAAACATTTCCTGAGCCTCCTGGCCTGCCAGGCCCAGTACTAGGTACTGTGTATAAAGAGATAACAGAACACGATCCTGCCATTGATGGAAACACAAAGAGGTAATTTCCACATGTGGTGGGAAGTGCTAGACAAGAGAAATGCACCTGCACCACAGGGGCACATGGGAGGGACCTCAGCCTCCTTAAGGCATTCTGGAAGTCTTTGTGAAGGATAAGTAGGAGTTAGGAGGTAAAAGGGAGTGAAGGCATGGGCACAGTTCAGGGAGAACTTTACAGGCAGAGGGAGAGTACCAGCAAGGTCTGGAGGTATGAAACTGTATGGTAGCCAGACTGGGAAGCAAATAGAGTGAGCCAGTGACCATCAGGGAGAGGTGGGCAGGGCCCCACAAGTAGGAGGCGGAACCTGGCCCTGGGGAGCCTCAGGTAGGATGGTCACGGGCAGCTACAGCTGAGCTGCCACAGGGGGTTCAGGCAGAAGTGAGCAGTGGGGTCGGGGGTAGAGCAGTTAAGGGTTTGGGTTCTGTGGTCACAGCACTTGGGCTCAAATCCCATGTCTGTCTCTCATTAGCTTGAGAACTCAGTGAAGATATCTTACTGTTTTGAGCTTCAAGTCTTCCTCTGCAAAATGGAGATGTAATAAACTAGACTGTATGCCTATTATGTAGTAGGAGTTGAATAAAAGGGAATGAGTAAAAGCCTTTTTCAGAAAAGCTGGAGCTAGCTGAAAGAGGTTTGCAGACCAGGTGCAGCTCCTGCCTTTGTCCCCCAGACAGTGAGACTGGGGCCCAATCAGGCCCATGCTCCCAGCGCCGCCTGGTGGCCCCTGGGCAGCCTGATTCTGAATCAGGTCCTGGTAAGGTGCACATTGCCGCAGCTCCTTGCCTAAGTCTGTGGGCACCCCTTTTCTTTGAGCACACTCCAGCCTTTCTTGGGTCTGGCAGGGGCCAAGCCACTTGCCTGGGGACAAGAAAAGCAGCCCAGATCGAAGGAAGCAAGCAGAATAATGAGATTGGCTCCCTTCGCACACAGTGACTGAGAGGCCCAGTTCTAAATACTTCTGAGCATGTCTCCTTTAATCCTCCCAACAACCCTACAGAGGAAAGATTAGCCTGGTGAGGAAACTGAGGCACAGTTAAATGACTTTGCCCAAGATCACACAGCCAGCAAGTGCCCAGGTCTGCTTGGCTCCAAAGCTGGTTCCCTGGGAAAAGCATGTACTTGTGGCTCTCAGAGCCTGCCAGGGTCTGGAGTAGACAATGCAGTTGTGAACTGTCAACGCCAAGCCCAGCCTCCAGCACCACCACCCTCCAAGAATGTGCCCCTTTGCCATCCCTGACAGTCTGTCCTGCCTGGGATTTGCCACCATTCCCAAACTAGCGCCACAAAGGGCTTGGGGAATAGTGATATCCCTGGGTTCCTAGTGGCTGGAGAGGATAAGAAAGGAAAGGAGTAGGCACTGTAAAAGGTCACACACCTGGTTGGTGTCAGGCTGAAATCTGAACTCAGGTCTGTCCAAGAACTGCTCTGGTTCAGATCAGCTTTAGAGTGGGCCCAAAGCAGTGCTCAGGAACATGCTCAGACTCTTGCAGTGTAGATCCCACCCTGGGACCAGCCCACACATGCCCCAGGCTCAGTAACAGGTGCCAGGTCCTTCTTCATAGCTCCTTCTGTGACTGGCACAATGTCTATTACATAGTAGGCAACTCTAAATGTTCTTATCTAAATGTATGCCTCAGACCCAGAGTAGATAGGCCCTGGAGCAACTCAGCTGCAGCCCCAGACCTGGCTGGAACCAGCTGGGAAATGGAGGGAAGCAGGGATCTGGCCCTGAGAGGGAGGGTAACCCTCTCTCTGAACCTCTCTGAACCTCAGGAGGCAGCAGCATCTCTAGGTCAGGGTGTAAGGAAGTCCAGCATGCCCAGAGCTGGCACCCCCACTGCTGCAAGACCATGGTGTCCTTCCCCTGCTCTGGCCTGCATGGGACTTACCATGGTGGAAAGACTGTGAAGCAAGCTGAGTTCACACCTTTGCACTGAGCTGCTGGAGGACAGGCAATCCTGTGGGTGCTGCCTGGGTCTGAGCACACAGAAGCTGGAAGGAGCACCTGCAGGGGGGAGTAACAATATGCATGGCTGGCGTCACTCACAGCCTACTGCACAATCATGCTTCCAGGGCCCTAGTAACTGGGGAGCTGCCTCAGACTTTGATCTAAGTCCAAACTCTAGTACAAGCTGCGTGTGGAAAAGAGCATGAGGCAATCAAGTTTCAGACCTCCACTTGGCTTACAGAAGACAGATTGACCTGTGTTATGCACAGAGCTGCCTTTTTGCCCAGCGGCAGTGTCCACCTCATCACGAAGGGGCAAAGTTACCCATAAAGGAACTTCATCTCTTACATAGGTATCATGTGCAGTAGGTTTACAAAGATCTTCACACACTTGCTCTTGTTGGCGTTGGCGCCACACCACGAGAGACGGCTGAGTCTGTGACCCTATATTTCACTTCTGGGAAATGGACTCCAGCAACTTGTCCACGTCAAACCAGTAAGAGCCAGGACTCAAACCAATGTCCAGCCTTTCTAAAAAGCCTAATTTCTTTCTGAGAATTCAGTGCCTCGAAAGTAAGGCACAGAGTCTCTGGTGTGGGAAACCACATTTGTAAACACAATGACGCTTTAAGTCTCCTCAGTTCAGCCTGGCTCAGATGGGGTCTTGGATCCAAGGGTCTTGGGTTCACTGTATGTCTGCAGTGGAAGGATTCCACAGCGGGCTCTGCACCTAGCTCTGCCTCTGAGTTACTGAGGGATCTTGGGTAAATCAACTCCCTTGAGCCTCAGCTTCCTCATCTGTAAAATGGGGTTTTACTGATGCCACGTGGTTCTTCTCCTACCCCTTGCGGAGCCCGTCTGATGTGGAGTGGCCTGTAAGTTGCAGGGCTATTTCTTGGTCATTAATGCTCTCAGCATAGAAATACGGTTTTGAGTCTAAGGTCAGAATTTGTACAGCAATGGGGGCACTAATAAGGCTGGGCAAGTGGCCTGGTGGGTCCTTCAAAGTCTAAGAATAAAACGCAGTTTAAACCTGAGAGATGAGCATCCTGGTATCCCGAGGTAAGGTGGGTGATGGATTATTCTAAGGTCAGGTGAGGGTACCAGCTAGTTTGGAGAAACTGGAAGGGCTAAGGGGAGGAAGGTACGACCTCAGTTCTAGTCTGGGGGGTGCACAAATTGCTGTCACCTCCCTCCCCTCTCTAGGCCTCTGCAGCGCTTCCGATTCCAAAAGAGGAACAGCCCGCGGGCTCCTAGAGCAACGGAAGGTGGAGAGAAGGGGGTCTGGGGAAGGGAAGGGTGAGGGGCGCTGACTGGGGCTGAGGTCGGCGGGTCGGCTCCGAAGGCGTAGGGGGCCTCGGTAAATCCCCCCCCCACCTGCTCACTCCCGCACTACCACCTCTGTAATAGCCACGGTTCCAGGGACCCCAACGGCGCTCCCGCATCCGGGTACTCAGGGCTCCGGCAGAACGAGGTGGGTGGGGCCTCCGGGGGCGGAGCCTCATCCGGTTGGTTGCCTTGGGCTCTGTGAGTCCTCCAAGAAGCCAGGTGAGGCCGTCCCGTGATGCCCTGCGCCGCGGCCACTCTAGCCTGCAACGTGTATCTGGGGCGGAGGCAGCGGCGGTGGAGTTCGCTGCGCGGGTGGGGGCCCCCTGTCACCTCGTTTGTGTCCGTCTCTCTATCGTTGCGCTCGAATCCCGACGGGCCGCCCCAGGCCTCGACATGTCGTACAACTACGTGGTAACGGCACAGAAGCCCACCGCAGTGAACGGCTGCGTGACCGGTGAGGCTGCCAGGGCCGGAGACCCCGGCGAGGAAGGAAGCTGAGGGGAGCCGAGGCCTAGGGAGGCCCGCGCTCCTGGGGTGGCGGTGTAGGACCGGGTGCGGGGAATGGAAGGCGCTGGCGCCCGAGGGTCCTTCCCCGACCCACTACTCCAAAGAAGCTATCTCAACACGCGCCTTTTGGGGAGTAAAAGCTGCTCTTGAGGGTCTCCTTTCGTTCTGGGAGGTCACTTGGCCTCGAGGACAGGGACGGGCCCAGTGGGACAGAGAGCGAAGTGTGAGTTGATCGTGCGGTGTTGCTCGGGCCCGGAGATTAGCCTCGTATGGTCAGGGGAAGGGCCGGTGGTGATGGCGACTTTGGGGTTGGAATTTTCACGTAGGAGAGCCCGGGGGGTGCAGGAGGTGGAGGGATGTGAGGAATGTCCGCCCTCACCCAAAGCAAAGGAGTCCTTGCCTGGGGCTGTTGTTCACTCGAGAAAGCTGCAGAAGGTGATTTGGAAGGCCCAGTCCAGCGCCCAGTCTGCCTTGTTGACTAGGCAAGGATTGTTAAGGACACAGTTGCCTAGAACCCGGGAATAATCCCCTTGAACCCGGGAATAATCATCTTGAACCACGTTCTCATTAGAGTATAAAGACCTCAAACTTAAATGTTTACGTAAATCCTAACCATGATTCCAGTACAGCACTGTTGTTGGGAGAGTTGGAGGGGTGAAAGGTTGTGCACGGGGATATTGGTAGACTGCCGGGAGGGTAAGAGGTGTGGACAAAACAGTGTTTTAATATGAACCTCTCAGACTTTTCTAAATTTGATTTGGTCTCTTTGGTAAGGATTTTGTAAGAATTTAGATAAGGACTGAATAAAGATGAATACTTTCTCCCGCATCCCTTAGTTAGAGGTTAGCCTGCCACTGTAATAGGAAAAGCTTTAAAATTTGAGGGCACAGACCCATCTGAAGGGTTTTCACGGTCACTGTCAGCTGAAGGACGTTCCTGCTCTTAAGCCCAGTCCAGTTTGTCTTAGTCCGAATTAGAGAAGTAGCTTTCTTAAATATATGAAGTGACACTCTTAAATGTATGGGTTCTGGATTTGGTGAGAAGGGAGTGAATGGAGGGAGCCGGAGAAATATGTGAAGTAAAGGATAATTATGGAGGTAATTAGGTAGAAGTGGTAGGATTATTTAGATAGTGTCCTGGCTTCAAAAGTTAGAGGATCTGTTCTTACAGGACACTTTACTTCAGCTGAAGACTTGAACCTGTTGATTGCCAAAAATACGAGATTAGAGATCTATGTAGTCACTGCAGAGGGGCTTCGGCCCGTCAAAGAGGTGGGCATGTATGGGAAGATTGCTGTCATGGAGCTTTTCAGACCCAAGGTAAGTGCTCTGGGCTGGGCTCAGCAACAAGAACAATTGTAGATGGTTTTACTTGGTTTTACATCATTGCTTCGAATGGGTGGAATAAGGATTAGGAAGGAAACTTTTCTTGAATGGCAGACTTCAATTTATATTATTGGATGAGCTACCTAGATGTAGGAGAGAGTTACCAAGAAAAATTGATCAAGTTGACATCTTTAGAAGGGGAAATTAAAGCAGTTTGAAATGTGGGTCACCATAGTGAATTTAGAGAGTAGGGCAGTCCTAGCTTCATTGCATAATTAATTATAACTTTGTGTGTTAGAATTAACCTTATTTCTCCAGAACCTTATTTCTCCATCTGCATAGGAATAACAGTTTCCAACCCCCCAGGGTTATTGTGAAGACTAAATTATTTAATACTGCCGAACCTATTACATAACAAGTATTCGCTGTTAACAATGATCACCGCATTGTTATTACTATTATTATAATTGAAACGCTCTCATCCAAATAGCTATCATATTACTCCATTGTATCTTAACTGAATCTGATAAGAAAACATTGGTTCAAAATTTTAATTATAACCCTTTGAGTGAAATAATATTTTGGAGTCTGTTAATAAGTCAGTAAGACTTTATCAATCCATTTTAGCTTATGTTGTTATTCACATTTTTTCCTTTTTCAAATACTTAAAGAGATTTAGAGGAGGCATTACAGACATCTTTCAGAATTTGAATGGAATGATTGAGATTAGCTTGAGATGGAAATATATGATTATAATGTGTTTGGAGCAGAGAGATGGGGAATCATTAAAGTGCCGCTAGATGTTTACCAGCTTCAGTTCTGGCCTTTTGCACATACCCTTAGGGTGTATATGTACCTGATGTGTATTACATACTCACCATGGATTTTTCTCTTCAGGGAGAAAAGAAAGTTGTTAAAGAACTTAGCCTGCTTAAGGAATGATGCTTAAAGGCTGGACAGGTATTGCCGTTTTAAAAAGAACCTCTTTTGATAGCGTAACATTCGTTTCCAGGGGGAGAGCAAGGACCTACTGTTTATCCTGACAGCTAAGTACAATGCCTGCATCCTGGAATATAAGCAGAGTGGTGAGAGTATTGACATCATAACGCGAGCCCATGGTAATGTCCAGGTGAGGTGTCTGCTTCAGTCTAATGAGTCTTGCAAGTAGGGCCGTCATGATTTGAGGAAGAAAACTGAAGTGCTGGGGATGGTGCTCTCTATATGATCAGAGAGACAAGGAGAAAACACTAAGGCTTTTAGCTGTTATGAAGAAAGGACTTCATAATTTACTCAGAGGTCAAGGGATGTTAATTCTTGATACTCAAGTGCTTTGCCAAAAGGCATGCACTGACATCTGGGCTCCCTGGCATGTCCAGTAGATGCCACTACTTTACTACCACTCCTGAAACCATCCTGGGAAGGTGATGCCCAGTGTCCTCTGTTCCTTGGGGCATTGACGTTCTTCTCTAACTCGGATTTTGATTCTCAGGACCGCATTGGCCGGCCTTCCGAGACTGGCATTATTGGCATCATCGACCCCGAGTGCCGGATGATTGGCCTACGACTGTATGATGGCCTTTTCAAGGTTATTCCGCTAGACCGGGACAATAAAGAGCTTAAGGCCTTTAACATCCGTCTGGAGGAGTTGCATGTCATCGATGTCAAGTTCCTATACGGGTGCCAGGCACCTACCATCTGCTTTGTCTACCAGGTACTGGGGCAGGAAAGGAGTGAAGCTGTGTGTTTTGGAGTAGTGGGAGTTGATTCTTGCTAATTGGGAGGTGTAGATTTGGTAATTGGGTAGACAGAGAACCGAATGTATTTGTCCTGAAATGTTTTGAAGGATATAATTAATATGGGTCAGATTTTGGTTGTGTCTTGAGTGCAGTAGTACTTTGGAGGCAGGAATCTGTCTGGGGCTTGTAGCAGTTTTTAATCCTGAGATTACACTCTGGTTGTGGATCTTGGAGATTTTATAGGGTGACCCAGTTTATACTTAGTCTCTGAGACTCTTTCTGGTGGCATGCTAGGGAATTATTATTATTAAACTTAGCTGTAGAGAGATGATCTGAAAATTGCCTTTATATGCAAATGCAAATAAGAAAATGTCTTAGTGATGCCTTATTTATGTCTTCTAAGAAGAGGTTTGCATTTGTCCAGCATTCACTTTGTGGTGACTTATTGGCCCTTGACTTCTATTTTAGTCTGTGCCTAAAACTTCAGCAGAGCTGATCTTGGGCAGCTGTTCTCTGTGACAGGTCTGTTCAGTGGGGGTGGGTGGTAGAGATAGATATGGACTAACATGCCCATATGTTGGTGAAATCTCAGCCTTTTAACAAAGGGCCATAGAGCATGAGGTCATTTGCTCACATGTGGTAGAACAGACGGCAGAAGGAAGCGTGGCCCAGGCCTATGTACTGTGTGTGGGCACATGAACTCTTTGCTCACTGTGTTTAAGTTTTGGAAATATTGGTATGTTTTTGTATATTTCTTAGTGTCACCATAAGTGCTATATATAGCTCAGAGGCTGGTTGGAATAAAGTTCAGTTTTTAAATAAGGTTGAAACTAGTTTAGGAGATTTTGTTTGATGTATATTAACTGTTAGAACTGAAATAAAACTTAGCCTTTTTCTGCCTTCTTCAGTTTTGTAAATATGAGGCCAGTAAAACATTTACCTTAGCTATTCAAGGCTGACTCTGTCTAATGGTAGCTTCAGGACTGCTAGTTGTGAACACATCTTTATTTCTGTAGGTGCTTCTCATAAGTCTAAATCTAAACCCCAGTTTGAACTTTTCCTGAAGTTGAGCCTTACCCCTAATCATTGATGGGAAAAATCTTTTCCTCAGCTAAAAAGAATTTTTATCTGTTTTGTGTCACAAATTCAATTTGATAAATACCATGTGAGAGGTAGTTAGGAGCTATAACAGTGATTAAGGTGTGGGCCTTGCCCTGAAACATATTGTTGAATTTTTTTCCATGACTTGTTAGACTCTGGTCTGGCCTTTGTTGAGGCCACCCTCCACTAGCCAAATGTAGCCTTCTCCCCACTGCTGCTTTTGTGGTCTCTTAAAGGTGCCTTTAACAGCTGCAGTACTGATGTGAGTCATGATTCAGAAAAAGGAGGGAAGGTGGTACTGACTGTGGCGGAGCTGGAGGTTTAACTAACATCAGAGCAGCAATTTGTTCTGTTCTTGCTACTATCACCCCTTCAGAATGCTTTTAAGAATTCTATCAGCTTTTTTCATCTCTTAGATATGTTTAGCTTCTCAGTGTTTTTTTTTTTTTTTAGTTATAAGTTCCTTGAGGCCAAGGAATACAAACTATAGATATATTCTGTACACACATTT